GATAATAGATTTACCTCAAGATGCATTTTTTCTAAAACCTCCGAAAATGATAGACAGAGAAAAAAATAAATGTGTGGATATATACATACATACATATACATATACATACACACACACACACACACACACACACACACACACACAACACACACACATATATATGATAATATATTACATTAAATTAGACATTCTCACACACACGCACACACGGACGGACGCGCACGCGCACGCACGCACGCACGCACACACACACACACACACACACACACACACACACACACACACACACACACACACACACACACACACACACACACACACACACACACACACACACACACAACACACACACACACACACAATCATAAATAATTTAAAAAAAGAAAAAAATGAAATAAAATTATAAAAAAAAAAATAATCACAAAGATCTAAAAAAAAATATAAAAAATACAAGATCAATAACGTAAGAAAAAGACTTAAGACTAATAATGTGAGTTTTGATTGCCTTCTCGTCGGATCTGATCCTCTCCGATGACACGAGAGGAGGATCAACAACCCTTTTCCTGGAACAGAACGACATCCTTTTTTCTCCGCTTTTCATTTCTTCGTAGGACTTATATTTTTCATGTCTGGAGCTGGGTACAATCTTTTCTTTTTTGCTCAGAAAAAAAAATCATAACAATAAGAAGAAAAAAAAAAGAAAAGAAAAGAAAAAGACAGACAGAACGAAAGAAAGAAAGAAGAAAAACAGACAAAAAAGAAAAGAAAAAAAATAGAAAAAAATTGAAAGAAAAGAAAAGAAAAAAAATCATATATCAATATCTAATCTATATCTACCTTTCTATCTATCAATATAATATACATACATACATACATATATATATATATATATATATATATATATATATATATATATATATATATATATATATATATATATATATATGTATGAGTTTAAGTCTTGAAATACATACCTCACCGAAACATAAATTTCAAAAAATATAATAAAACTATATATATAATTAACCTTCAGTATACCCTGAGCTTCAAAACCCCACATCTAATGACACTGAAACATATTGAACATTTCTGAACTCAAACGCGATAAAGAAAACGGTAAAATGTCCTTTTTCTTCTCTTTTGCTTCGTCCTCTCTGTTTATTCGTAATTCTGCTCTGCTTTTCTCTCCTTTGTTTTCTTTTCTTTCCTCTCGCCTCGTTTATCTATTCTCTTCTCTTCAGTATTTGCGCTTCCTGTCATCATCTTCTGTCTGTTTTTCTTTTTCTCTTTCTTTCTTTTCTCTTTTTTTTCTCTTCTCCCTTTCCTTATCCTCTCCTATCATTTCCCGTCCTCACTCTCTCTCTCCTCTTCTCTCTTCTCCTCCTCTTTACATCGCTTTAATTTCTCATTTATTATTTCCTTTCCTTATCTTCTCTCTTCTCCTCTCCACCTTCTCTCCTTCTAATCTTCTCTTCCTTCCTTCGCAGCTTCTCTCCTCTCCTTCTTTTCTCCTCCTTTCCCCTTTCTCCTCTCTTCTCTCCTCCTCCTCCTCCTCTCCTCCCTTCCTTCTCTCCTTTTCCTTTCCTCCCTTCCCATCACTATTACTTAACCCCCCCTCCCTCCAGTAGACCCCCTACCCCCCACCCCCCTACCACCACAAGTATACATCCCACTTGAAAAAAAATCCCATCAAATACATCAACACTTGAGTCCTCCGTTTCTATGTATACTCCAAGGGAATTTAAGCCTTGTGGACATTCCAGCTAATGATTGCTAGAGGGATAAGGCATTCGACATTCGTTATCAGGTTGTTTGCTATCTCCTCAGTGGGTTTAGAGGAACGAACGAAATGGCGGAAGATAGAAAGACGTTTTTTTCTTCTTTTTCTCTCTCTCTCTCTCTTTTTTTTTTTTTTTTTTTTTTTTTGGGGGGGGGGGGTGAGTGAGAAGAAGATATTCTATATCGATCGACGGGTTGTGTGTCAACATAGCGGCAGAGAGCGAGAAGTGTGCGCAAGGGTGGAAATACAGACTCGAGAGTATGTTCAGACGGCAATTCACACACAGGACGTTGGAGGACATACGGAGGCACAGACACACTGATTGAAGACGGTGAATCACACATACATACACATACAATGGGCAGAACACACAGAGATGCAAATACACACAAACACATACACACATACAAAGGACACAAACACACGCATACAAACACACACACATACAAAGGACACAAACACACGCATACAAACACACACCACACACACACAAACATAAACATACACGACTACAAAAATCACATACACACACACCACACATACAAACACACACACACAAACATAAACACGCACATGCATACAAACACACACGCTCATATACACGGACACACACATACAGACACACAGGTACACACAATAAACGTTTCTCCTTTGGCATTGAGTAGGAACGTTTGATATGTGAACGAGAAAGGGAGTTTGGGGAGAGAGAGGGGCGGCGAGGGGAGAGAGGGAGAAAGGGAAAGGGAGGGGAGGAGAAGGGGGAGGGAGGGAAGAGAGAGAGGAAAGGGAAGAAAATGAGGTATCAAAGGAGGAGAGAGGGAAGGAGGGGGAAAGGATGAGGGATGTATGAGAAGGGGAGTGACAGAGAAGGCCGAAAGAAGAGAGAAGAAAAGGGTGATCACAGAAGGAGAATAACGAAGGTGAGAAAGGGAAAGGAGAAAAATGGAAGATCGGGAAAAGAAAGAAGGAGAGGGGAAAAGGGAAGAGGAAAATGGGAAACCACGGAAGGGAAGAAGGGAGTGAAAGTAAAGAATAAAGGAAGAGAAAGGAGAGGAAAGGAAAAAAAGGGAGGAGAGAAAAGGAGGGACAAAGAGAGAAGAAGAGAAAGGGACAATAGACAACGCGGGAAGGAGAAAGAAGAGGGAAGGGAAGGAAAAGAGGAGAATAGAAAAAGGAAGAGACGAGTAGAAATTAAATAAATCGAGAAAGGGCAAACAAAATTAATGAAATTAACAGAAAGAGGAAAAGAAGGAGAGATAAAGATGGGAAAGGAGGAAAAAGAGAGGGGAGAAAGAAGGAAAGGAGGAAAAGAGAGAGAGAGAGAGAGAGAGAGAGAGAGAGAGAGAGAGAGAGAGAGAGAGAGAGAGAGAGAGAGAGAGAGAGAGAGAGAGAGAGAGAGAGAGAGGGTAAAAAGAAGGGAAATCAAACGAGGATTTTCAAGACCGGTGCCTCGGATACCTCGACCTTCGTTCCCATCCACTTGCGTCGCCAATAAGACCGGTTTTAGAAGCACTTTGAAATTGAAGGATTTTCCTAAAGCTTTTTCTTTTTCTTTTTTTTTTCTTTTTTTTTGGATCTTAATGACCAGATGGAAAAATATTGGAGTTGGGTGGGGGGGGGGGAGGTGGGGAGGTGGGGAGGATGGATGGATGGATGGATGGATGGATGGATGGATGGATGGATGGATGGATGGATGGATGGATGGATGGATGGATGGCATGGGATGGATGGGCAGATGGGTGAATGTATAAATGAATTAACGAGTGAATGAGTGAGTGAGTGAGTGAATGGGTGGGCGGGTACGTTGAGTAGATAATTGGGTGGATTAGATGGATGGAAAGAACAGATAAACGGATAAACAGACGAACGGAAGATCATAGCATTGTGGGGAAAAAAGGAAAAGAAAAACGAAGTAGAGAACAAGAGAATTATATAAAAACAATGGATAATGAATCATATATAATAAACTATAGATAATAAATAAGAGAACTGGCAACCCACCCCGGTCTCTGGAGCAATCCGATTCGCCAAAAAAAACATAGATGAATAAATAAAGTGGTTTTGAAGGCAGCAAATTTCAACAAGAAATAGCAGGAAAATATATTGTAAATAAGCTTTTGAAATTATAAAACACATGACCACATAAGTATTGAGTATAACGTGATTAATATAAAAATGAGAAAATTGGTGAATCGGACTCTAGCATCCCGGTGCGAGTTGCCAGCTTTTGTTTTTACTCGAAATTAGACGCAACACAGGTGACGGCAGAAAGTTTCAGTTTGGGGGAAATAATGGGGGGGGGGGGATTATAGGGGAAAATTTTCGGTCGGGACAAATTTTTTGTCGGGGGAAAATTTCAGGTGAAAGAAAATATCGCTCAAGGGAAAATTTCAGTTAGGGGAAAATGTTTTTGTCCAGGAAAAAAAAGTCAAGTGGAAAATTCAGTCTGGGGGAAAATTAGAGTCAGGATAAAAAAAAAAAAAAGAAAAGAAAAATGGCGAAATTAAAGTCGGAAGAAAACAAAATACAGTCCATGGAACATATTGTCAGGTGAAGAAAATTTGTTAGGGGACAAAATGGGGGAAAATCATCATCGGTGGGGGAAATCCTAAGAAGGTCACAGCGCTGGGAAGCAAAACCTTCATCATTATAATCCTAAGCCACGATCTATCACCAGCGGTAATTATTCATCGCAGAGACACACACAATTACAGTAAACTATTAATTAAGAAGGTGTGATTAATGGCACCCTTTGGACACCGAGCTGAAGATGGTTGAATAAATAATCGAGGCGGGAGAACGGGGAGTTTTTGTTAAGGTGTTTTTGTTTTGTGTGTTTGTTTGGTGTGTGCGCGTGTGTGTGTGTGTGTGTGTGTGTGTTGTGTGTGTGTGTGTGTGTGTGTGTTTGTGTGTGTGTGTGTGTGTGTGTTTACGAGTGTGTTTGTGGGTTTGCTTTGTATGTGTGTGTGAGAGAGAGAGGGAGAGAGGGAAAGGGAGAGAGACAGAGAGAGAGAGAGAGGGGGCGTGGAGGAGAGAGAGAAAGAGAGAGAGAAAGAGACTGATAAAATAGATACAGACATACTCCCATCCTCTTTCCTCCCTTCCTTCCCATTTCCCTTCCCTCGCTCTCCCTCCCCTTCCCTCTCCTCTCCTCCCCTCCCCTCCTTTCTTCCTCCTCCCCTCCCCCTTTCCCTTTCCCTCCCCTCCCCTTTCCCTCCCTTCAACTGGCAAGCTTTGCATTCCTCACCCTCCCGCTGACCACTTTCACTTCCTCATTGCACGACTGCATGCACGATGCTGTGATATTGCAAGTGTGGAGATATGCGGTTTATGGGTCTGACTGTGTGTGTGTGTTTGTTTGTGTGTCTTGTGTATTATTTGTTTGTTTGTGTGCAGTGTTTACTTGTTTGTTTGTTTGTATGGGTGCTTATTTGTGAGAGATGAGAGAGGAGAGAGCGAAGAGCGAGAGAGCGAGACGAGAGGAGAGAGAGAGCGAGAGAGAGGATGAAGGAGAGAGAGAGAGAGAGAGAGAGAGAGAGAGAGAGAGAGGAGAGAGAGAGAGAGAGAAGAGAGAGAGGAGAGAGAGAGAGAGAGAAGAGAGAGAGAGAGAGAGAGAAAAGAGAGAGAGAGAGAGAGAGAGAGAGAGAGAGAGAGAGAGAGAGAGAGAGAGAGAGAGAGAGAGAGAGAGAGAGAGAGAGAGAGAGAGAGAGAGAGAGAGAGAGAAAGAGAGAAAGAGAAAGAGAGAGAGAAACAGACAGACAGACATAGAGAAAAAGCAAAACCTTGTACCCCGTCGATCGTTATACCCACCTAACCCCCTCACACCCCACACTCCACCCCCAACCCCTCCCACACCCCTACCTCCTCCTCAAAAAAATCACCCCCACCCCTTACACTAACAATAAAAAACACCCACCAAACAAACACCAAAACAAACAGACAGACACTCCCGCACCTTGGATCTCGACCGTCTCCTCGTCGATGGTGATGCCGTGGAGGGCGACCGAGTTGGCGCTCCGGATCTCCGACATGAGGACGAGGTACAGGTCGGCCGCGTCGAGGTGCAGGCGGCGGTAGTTGACGTGCAGGTTGAAGTGCACGACCAGGGAGTCGTCCTCGTCCCTGGGGGGTAGGAGGGGGGGAAGGGGGAGGGGGGTCAGATTTTTTTTGTGTGGTTTTCTGGTTTTATTTGTGTGTGTTTGTTTGTCTTTTGCAATTTTCGGTTTTGCTTTTTTTTTTTTTTTTTTTTTTTAGTTTTTTTTTTTTTTCTTTTTGTGTCTTTGTCTTTTTTGTTGTTTGTTTTTCATGTTCTCTTTTTATACTTTTTAAAACAAATTCTAAACAATATAACTTATAGTATTTGTGTTTTGATAATGTATTAAGAGGATCTTGTTTTTATATTGTTTATATTTTGTGTCCCTGTAAACAACAATAAACGCAGAGGGAAAATATAGAATAATGAAAAACACAAACAGAAAACAAACAAACAAAAATCAACAAACCCCTGAAAAGAAAAGAAAATACTCTAACACAAAGACATTATTTAAATATCGACAAATACCTGAAATAAATATGATAAGAAAAACTTAAGAAACCAAGAAAACATAAAAATAGAAAAATAACTACAAAAAGTATATATATGACAACAACAAAAAATGTTTGATATATGTATGACAATAAAAAAGAAAAACACGAAAAAACTGAAATAAATATGACAGCAATAATAAAAAAATCAAGCACAAGAAAACATAAAAAGACGACAAATACCTGAAATACATATAACAAAAAAAGAGAAAAAAAAAAAAAATCCTTACTCAATATAATAAAAAAAAAACAAGAAAACATCAAGAAAAAACAAAAAACAAAAGCAAACCCCCCAAACCGCCTTACCTATCGAAGCCCAAAACCTCCGCGCGGATGAATACATTCTTGAAGACGGAGTTCTTGTACACGCTGTCGAGCCGGCCAGTGTATGCCTCCGCGGTGGTGATGTAGGAGGGGTTGCTCGGGTCCGAGAGCTGGGGGGACCATCTGTCGCCGTTGCGCACGTGGAAGCTGCCGCGGAACACTCGCTCGTGGGGCAGTTCGAGGCCGAGGAACTGGTCTGTTGGGGGAGAGAGAGATGTGTAAGAAAGAGGTGTGGGAGAGAGATTGAGAGAAAGAGTGAGAGAGTGAGAGGGGGAAGGGAGAGAGAGGTGTGGGAGAAAGGAGGAATGAGAGAAGAGTGAGAGGGAGAGAGAGGGAGAGAGAGAGAAAGAGGAGAGAGAGAGAGAGAGAGGAGAGAGAGAAGAGAGAGGAGAGAGAGAGAGAGAGAGAGAGAGAGAAGAGAGAGAGAGAGAGAGAGAGAGAGAGAGAGAGAGGAGGGGGGAGAAAGAGTGAGAGGGGGGAGAACACTTGCTCGTGGGGCAGTTAGAGACCGAGGAACTGGTCTGTTGGGGAGAGAGAGAGAGATGTGAGAAAGAGGTGTAAGAGAGTGAGAGGGGAGAGGGAGAAAGGGAGGTGCGAGAGAAAGAGAGAAAGGGGAGAGAGAGGTGTGAGATAGAGAAAGTGTGTGTGTGAGAGAGAGGTGAAAAAGATAGTGGGGAAGAGGTAGAATGAGAGAATGAGAGCCGCAATAACATACAGACGGTTTAACATATGAAGGAAAATACACAATTCTAATGAGGTTAAAATACCAAGGACAACGCGTAGGAAGAAAATGAAATGAAACACGTCTCAGCAAGAAAGAAAAGATTATATCCGCTCTTCAGGCGAGGATAGTAAAACGAAAAAAAAAAAAAAAATCAAATTCGCGGAGATAAAGAAAGACAAGTCGAGTTCACAACAGACGCATCAAAGAAAACGGGAATAATGATAACAAAGGGGTAACGATAACAAACGCTAAAAAAAAATCAACTCACGAGGATATACAAAATAAAAAGGATCCCTAAAACCACTACACATATTACACAAACAGGTAAACAACAACACTGAACCAAAATCACGATAATAACCGCCCTTCTCTGCACCAAAATACGGGAGGAGAAAAGCCGTCGCCTTTTCGAAGCAATACATGAAGCAGACTTTCTTGTTGCAGAAACTGAAGTTGATGAAAACACCTATGATTAATCGCCTGGGAGGTGGGGGGAGAGGGGGAGAGGGAGAGGGAAGGGTGGAGGGGGGGAGAGGGCTGGAGAGGATAGTGTGAATGGTGGAGGGTGAAGGGAGGAGAGGGGGAGGAAAGAGGTGGATGGGGGTGGGTGAAGGGAGGTGAGGGGAGAGGGAAAGGGTGGAAGTTGTGAATTATGAGGGTGGAGGAGGAAGGGTGGGGGGAGAGGAAGGGTGAATGGTGGAAGTGGAAGGAAGGGAGGAGAATGGTGGGGAGGAGAGGGTGGTGGAAGGGCTTAGGAGAGATGGTAGTAGGGAGGAGGGAACGGAAGAAGGTGGAAAGAACAGGGGGAAGGAGAGGGCGAGTAAGGAGAGCGTGGGAGGGGAAGAGTGCAAAAGAAGGAAGGGAGAAGGAGAGCGAAGGGAGAACGTGCAAAGGGAGGAAGGGAGAAAGTGCAAAAGAAGGAAGGGAGAAGGAGAGCGAAGGGAGAAAGTGCAAAGGGAGGAAGGGAGAAGTGCAAAGGAAGGAATGGAGAAGGAGAGCGAAGGAGAAAGTGCAACGAAAGGAAGGGCGAAGGAGAGCGAAGGGAGAAAGTGCAAAGGGAGGAAGGGAGAAAGTGCAAAGGAAGGAATGGAGAAGGAGAGCGAAGGGAGAAAGTGCAACGAAAGGAAGGCGAAGGAGAGCGAAGGGAGAAAGTGCGAGGAAGGGAGAAAGTGCAAAGGAAGGAATGGAGAAGGAGAGCGAAGGGAGAAAGTGCAAGAAAGGAAGGGCCAAGGAGAGCGAAGGGAAAAGTGCAAAGGGAGAAGGAGAAAGTGCAAAGGAAGGAATGGAGAAGGAGAGCGAAGGGAGAAAGTGCAACGAAAGGAAGGGCGAAGGAGAGCGAAGAGAGAAAGCGCAAAGGGAGGAAGGGAGAAAGGGAATCCTCCGCGTGACAGGTTCCCAGCGGCAAGAAATTTGTCAAGGAGCCAAGCGAGACCGAGAGGCAAGGGCGAGGTGAGCAATGAAGAAGGGGTTGTCGCACCGCAGAGTTTTGTCGCTTTCTCCTCGTTTTCCTTTTTCCTTTTTTTTTCCTCTCTTTTCCTTCTCACTCCTTCATTCTAGAGCTTTGTCCCTTCGCCCTCCCACCTTCCTATCCATTGTCTTTCTCTTTCTCCTTCTTTCACTGCCTCTCATTCTCCCTGTCCCTCTCACTTTCACTTTTACACTTCATGTCCTCTTCTCCCTGTTTCCTTTTTGTTCTCTCCCCCCCCTATCCTTTCGTCCTTCCTTCTCGAATTATCTCATCCTCCTTCCTTCTCCCTCTCTCTCTTCCCCTCCTTCTTTCCTACTCCCTCTCCCCCTTCCTCCTTCCTACTCCCTTCCTTCCTCCTCCTACTCCCTCTCCCTTCCTCCTTCCTAATTCCTTTCCCTCCCTCGCCCTCTCCCTTCCTCCTTCCTACTCCCTCTCCCTTCCTCCTTTCTTAGTCCCTCTCCCTCCCCCCCTTTCCCCCCCGCAGTCCCCCCTTCTCCAAAACCCATAAAAAAACAACAAACTTTTCCCCCCGTCCCGAACAAAAATATCCCCGTATCCACACTCACCACTTGCCAATATAAACTCAAGTGGATATTTATGCCAACACGCGCAGTCATATCCACATTACAGTCGGCTCTGAATAGCGGCCATAAACCAACGAACGCACACACAGCAGTAAGGGTGTCTGTCTGTTCGCCTTAATTAATTAAATAGCAGTTTTAAGACAGTTCCAGGAGTTCGGGCCATAAGTTGGAACGCGGGGAGGGGGTGGGGGTGGTGGGAGGGGAGGAGGGTAAGTGTGGGTGGGGGGTATTGATCTGTTTTCCATTTTAGGTGTTGCGAGTGTGTGTGTTGTGTGTGTGTGTGTGTGTGTGTGTGTGTGTGTGTGTGTGTGACGTGTGTGTGTGTGTACGTGTGTGTGTGTGGTTGTGTGTGTGTGTGTGTGTGTGTGTGTGTGTGTGTGTGTGTGTGTGTGTGTGTGTGTGTTGTGTGTGTGTGTGTGTGTGTGTGTGTGTGTGTGTGTGTGTGTGTGTGTGTGTGTGTGTGTGTGTGTGTGTGTGTGTGTGTGTGTGTTGTGTGTGTGTGTGTGTGTGTGTGTGTGCTTGCGTGCGAGTGTGTGTGTGTGCGTGTGTGTGTGTGTGTGAGTACGTGACTGCGTGCGTGCGTGTATGACTGTGTTCGTTTGTTTGAGGGAGTTGGTGTGTGTTTGTTTATTCGTGTGTTTGAGTGTCTGTGAATGTGTATGAGTATTTCTCTGATTTCTTTTCTATCACTCCTCCCCTCTCTCTCATTTCCTCACTTTCTTAAATTCCTTCCCACCCTTCTCTCTCTCTCTCAATTCCTCACTTTCTTCAATTACTTCCCTCCTCTTCTCTCTCTCTCTCTCTCTCTCTCTCTCTCTCTCTCTCTCTCTCTCTCTCTCTCTCTCTCTCTCTCTCTCTCTCTCTCTCTCTCTCTCTCTCTCCCTCTCTCTCTCTCTCTCAGTCTTACATACTCGTGCGTAAGAGTAACATTATTATGCAAAATTTCTCCAAACAGCTGGCCCTCATAATTAGTTCACAAGTAACGATAATAATTACGATAATGATAATAATTGATCATAATGGCACACCTACACTGCATATATAATAACATATCCATCTTGTTACCTTCTAGACAGATGGGGCGGTTATAGTCGTAAACCGCAAAGATATATATTCTTTTTTTTCTGAATGGAAACTTTTTTAGTCAGGGAAAATTTCACTAGCGGTTTGCAATAAAAGGAGACTTTAATTAAACGGGAAAGGTTGTCGTGATGAAAATAATAATAATATAACGTGTTTACTTGTACATGTGTTTGCTAGAGAGACAGACATAGACACACACACACACACACACACGCACACATACACAAACACACACACACACACGCACACCTTTCCACTTCGCGCCTCATTTATGTCCTCATCTATCACCCATTTTTTTCAAACTTTTTCCTCCTCCTCTCCAATCCCCCTTTTACCATTTACTCCCCCGTCTACCCACCTCTCTTTCACCCTTCCCCCAACCCATTTTTACCTTTCCCCCCCACTATCTCCTCCACCTATCCCTCCTCTCCTTTCACCCTACCTCCCCTTCTCTCTTTCCTCACTTACTCCACCTACCCCTCCTTTCCCTTTCTCCCCTTCTCTCTTTCCCCACTTACCTGTCCACCTAACCCTTCGCCCCTACCTCCCCCTCCCTCTTTCCCACACTCTATCCCTCCTCTCCCCTACCTCCCCCTCTCTCTTTCCCAACTTACCTCTCCACCTATCCTTCTTCCTCCTCCCCTTCTAATGTCCCCCTCTCTTCTCCACTACCTCCCCCTCTCTCTTTCCAACTTACCTCTCCACCTATCCTTCCTCCTCCTCCCCCTTCTAATGTTCCCTCTCTTCTCCACTACCTCTCCCTCTCTCTTTCCCAACTTACCTCTCCAACCTATCCTTCCTCCTTCTCCCCCTTCTAATGTCCCCTCCCTTCTCCACTACCTCCCCCTCTCTCTCCCCCACTAATTCCTCCACCTACCGTTCCTCCCCCTCCCCCTCTAATGTCCCCCTCTCTGTTCCCCCTAATTCCCACCTATCGTTCCCCCCTCCCTCCCTCCCCCTCCTCCCCTTCTAATGCAGTCTAGGAAGGAACTCCAGTCTTTATATCTCCGCCATTAACCAGTCAGAAGGGCAAACGCTGCGGATTAATGCAATTATAAGTTCCATTAAATTCAATTTTCTCTCTTTTCGTATCTATCTCCTTTTATTTTATTTTTCCTTTTTTTTCATTTTCGTCTTTTTTCATTTTCTTTTTTTTTCTTAATGCAATCGACCGTTTCTGAGTCGGTTCTTGGAAGAGGTTTATTAAGAAGAAGAAGAAGAAATAAATTGATAAAAAGAAAGAAAAATGAGACAGAAATAGATTACGTTTTGGATTAATGGAGGATTGGGTTATGGTGATTAATGGTGTGGTGATGATGATGGTAGTGAGGATGGTGATGCAGTCATGGTGATAAAATTGATTATCCATTACTGTGATGACTGGTGGTGATTGTAATTGTGATGATTGTAGCTATAGTGATGGTGGTGGTGATGAAAAGGATAATGAGGATGATGATGGCGGTGAGGATAATGATGATGATGATGATGAAAATGAAGATAGTGATGGTGGTGGTGGTGATGGTTGTGATGATAATGATATGATAATGATGAGAGTGATAATGGTAATTTAAAGGTAATGATAATGATGAAGAAGAGAAAGAGAGGAAGAAGCACAACAAAAACAATAACAACAGCAACGGTTTTTGGGAAGCAACGTCATTCTCGGCGCAAAGTTGCAAACCCGAGAAACCCCGCCATCTGCAAAACGGCACTTAAGGACGAAAATTCCATGCGCTTTCGAGGTTGACGAGAAAGTGGGCGGGTTCTCTGGTTCTGGGGTGACTCGTGGGCGGGCGGTGTGGGTGGGGAGAGGAGAGGGTGGGGTGAGAAAGGTAGTGGGTTGTGGGGTATGGAGAGAGAGAGAGAGAGAGAGAGAGAGAGAGAGAGAGAGAGAGAGAGAGAGGAGAAGAGGGAGAGGGAGGAGGGAGGGAGGAGGGGAGGGAGAGAGAGAGA